ACCCATATCCAGTCAAAGGAACCTCCTTATCCCTGAAGACATGAAGACCAAGAGGAATCCCCACAGACAAGTTCTTACAAGGTTGCCTCAATTATATTCTACCCTCTTGTCCAGTAAATTTTTTCTATGACTGTCCACTCTTCCACAAACTTAGCTTAAAAACATGTGTGATAATTTCTTTGAGCCTTCATTTCTGAAGACTCCTATGTAACAAAAAACTAATATTAAATAAACTTGTGTTCTTTTCTCATGTTAATCTGTATTTTGTTTTAGAAGCCTCAATCAGGAACCTGGGATAAAAATGTTTGTATATTTTTTCCTCCCCTATGTTTACAATGCATTTGAAGTCAAATCTTCTCTTTATCCATGGCCTTCCTCACATTGTACTGTTGTCTCCCTCTCGACTGGATGTCTAAGAGAGTTAGGGGGTCAGGTAAAGCCCATTTTCCTTACCTAGGGGTTAAATAAATGCACAATGAGACAGCTACCTCCAGCATCACCAGTCAAGACCACAGTCTTCTCATTTCCAAAATTAGGAAAATAACATTTACTTCCACTGTTATAATAAACATATGAAGCTAAAGTGAGTATGATTGTGTATAAAGTAAGTATGGGAAACATTTGTCACAGTAACTGACACATGATGTATGCTCAGTAAACATTTCTCAGTTGTATCAAGTTCCATTTCTCCATTGGAGTGCAGATACTCATTTTGTTCCTTTCAATCCTTGGTAGGTTTAAGAAGATGGTGGAGTCTAGAAATTTATTTTATATACCTAATAAAATCATACTGAATTTGTGCTATTTCATAGTACTAAAAGCAGCAGAGAGCAAACATTGATGTACAAAAAACAGGACTTCTGTGCGTTAGTGGTGGGTTCTGCTGTGAGGAGGTGAGGAGTGGGCCAGGCTCCCTGTCAGGGGATCAGCTGTGTGCTCAGGATGGCAAGTATCCTGCTGTGTCCTCTTCTGGAGCCCAAACCTCCAGAGCAACTCAGAGGAGAGAGGAAATTGGGATATGTACATTTCAACTTATCTGTCACCTTATTGTCATGAATTTAGAGTTGGTGATTTGAGGCTTTTATCATGATTTGACCATCCAATATGCCTTTAATTGATCTCTTATTGGAATTTTTTAAATCTTTCTCAATATACTCTGACATCTCTTTTAATCTTCCAATTAAAGGGAATTTAGAAGAGTTTCTAATTCAGCTGTCCTTTGAGGAAAATTCTCTGACTTCAGGACATTAATTCTGAATAATAACAGGAGCCATTTAAAGAGTGCATTTTTTTCCAAGAAATCCATATTCATGCCTATTGAATTCCCCAAAACTTTTATCCTGTCAAGTCAATCCATCTTAAAAGATATTGAGGAATCTGAAAATCTTTCCTAGAATCTTCTGGAGCCAAGCCCATGCACTCTCGGACTACAGTCCTTGGTATGGAGGTCAGTTTCTCACAAGGCTCAACAAACTTTATGGAAATTAGATTATTTTATTTTGTTGATATTGTACTCTGTGTGAGGTCAATTTTTTATAACTGCTCATTCAGATATTGTCATATAACATGTGAAGTTGGGCCTTTGTTGTATCACTAAGCAATTTCTTAGTACGAAACATCCACAAATACAAAATCACTCAATATAAAATTTCAGCTAGATTTTCTAGTCTGGTTACCTAAAGGACTTTTGATTAAATTAAGCTGAAGTTGGAGATAAAACAGCTTTTCTGTGATATTTTTTTTTTTTTTATGAAGCTGAAGATTTACTTTAGAAGCTTATCCTTACTGAATTTAAAGTACATTTCTGGTTAATGACCAGAATCATCTGAATGTTGATCCTCATTGTATAAACAAATGAACCTTGATTTCTCTTTTTTGTCTATGATATCACGTCACATCATCAGTAAATAATAACAACCACCTCTTGGTGAAAGCACACAAAAGCAAATTGCTGTTTTATATATTTGAGGAAAACAGTAGAACATATTGGGAATAACAAAAAAGTATTGCAAATTCCCACATCACTTTTTTCCCCTTTACATTCAATGGCTAAATGTAATTTCATCTGTTAATGCCCTCAGAAACGGCACAAAATTGTGCTATAATTGAATCAAATGAATGCATCATTTGTGACTTTTATATTTCTCCAGCAAAAGGTCCATATTTGGACAATAATTTTTCAGTCACAATAAAAAAAATCATAATATAAAGAGCTCTTGAGTGTTTATATCAACTACAAAAGAAATAGGGCAAGCATTTTATGTATGTGTATACATAACTTTCATGTGCACACATACAGTCAACACACACACACACACACACACACACACACGTTTCCAGGGTTCAGAAAAGGAAATACCTTTTCATTATTAAGGGTAATGTTTTCAAATAGATTAATCAGAAAATATGACATAGATGTAAGCCCATTTTGCACATAGTATTGGTCATATTTGTTGGGGGTAATGTGAGGTCAATGATGACAGAACAGCATTCTTTAAATGGCCATAGATTATTTCCCCCAATATTTCAGGGCTGGGAGTCACCAGCAG